TTATATGTGTGTGTGTGTGTGTGTGTGGGTGGGTGTGTGTGTGTGTGTGTGTGTGTGTGTGTGTGTGTGTGTGTAAAATTTCGAGGCCACATAAAGACGCCATCATTATATATATAAATATACTAGACACCTAAAAATTCTTAATTTTTAATGTTATTTTTAACTGTATATTAATTAATAATTTCAATTCAGAGTGATCTAGGGTCGAGTATCCGACATTCTGACATCACGTCTCTAGCACGGTAACGAGGCTCAGCCATGTCATGGGAGAGCATCGCATCGAAAGATCTGCTCAGGTATATATAATGTCTATTTATCAATGCTATCATAACATACATTATCATGTATTATTCTCCACTTCCGCAGCATACCACAAAGTCACAAATTGTCAGCAACACATTTACTCGCGTCACCTGATGGATCACGATATTTGCTGAATAATTCCAATGGTCTGTAAATTAAAATAAGAAAAAATAAAATATATAAATTGGTATATACACCATGCATTATATATCTATATATGTATATATTTATATATATTGAATAGATCTGTGCCAATTTGATGAGAACTATTCAAGAATTGCCGGCTACGGCTCTAGCCCCGATGCTAATGTGGAGGGCCGTTCATTGTGGGTGCGACACGGCTTATCTCGTCCAGGCCAGGTTAATAACATACTTGGTTGCTTTTGGGCATGCCAAAGAAGTCTTCGGCAGTACATAGCGAGACGGAAGGTACGTATGTATATACTATGTACTTGTAGCCTTTTTATTCTCTCTTGTAGCCTATTCTCTCGCACATGGACCGTGGGTGACTTTCAATAAATTCTCGTTTTCGTGTCCTTTCACAGATTGAACGCGGCCTACGATTATATGAGCAGCATAATCAAACAGCTGCTGTTCGCACCTGGCGTAGCGCTTTGAAGGGTACTTGTCGTCGAGAGGATTGTTTTCAGCTGTTGGGTTATTTGTATCAGGCGCACATGGATTGGGGCAAGTATCGGGATGCGATTGACTTTGGGCATCAGCAGCTGGGCATATCCGAAGAGCTGGACTCACCAAATATGAGAGCCGAAACATATTTAAATTTGAGTCGCGCTCACGCCAGCTTAGGTGGCCTTGAGCGAGCTTTGGCATATGCGCGACACTCGCTCTACAACGAGTCTGGCACGAAATGCCGCAGCGGTCTGGTTCATCTGACTGTGGCAAGGGTCTATCTGGAAATGGGTGGATTCTCCAGGGCCTTGGAGGGCTTGCAGGGTGCGCATAAGATCGCAACGGCTATTGGCGACCCATCTCTGGAATTGCAAGTGTATGTAGCGCTTTCTGAGCTATTCAGTCGATTGCAGGATAACGACAAGAGTGCGACCTATGCATCTAAGGCATACGACTTATCAAGGTCCCTACAGCTAGGCGATCTCAACTCTTGCCATCACAGGGCCGCTTTACTGCGTATGGCAGCCTCGCTGCGTAAGCAGGGTGATTTAGGAGATGCTCACGACTATTGCATGGTAAGCTATCTACTCTCTCTCTTTCTTATATATATGTATATATATATATATATATATATATATGGTAAGCTATCTACTCTCTCTCTTTCTTATATATATATATATGCAGGAAGCAACTAGATTGTCATTGATTTCTGGTGATCAGGCCACATACACACGCAGTATAAGAGTGATGGGCGACATTTACCGCAAGAAGATGGATATCGAAGTACGTATATCACTTGTATTATCTATATGTATGTAAATAAGAAATACATATAGCTTTGAGACTGCACGAAATAAGATCAGTTGTTTTCGGCACAGTGAAATTTCTGCTGTCAGACCGCCTATTGCTCAAACCTTTAGAAAATATAAATGCTCGATAGAAACGTTATTATTTCAGCCAAAAGGATTAGAAGGATTTAGCTTTTGTGTGTCAAAAAAATACAAAGCTACCAGGTCTTCAATTATATATCGTACAACTTTGAAAATAGAATGGCCTAATTTTGTAACTGCAACTTTGCAAAAAAAAAAAAAAAAAACAAGTAAGAAAGCTCTAG